TTATATTTATTATTACATCTATTTATTATTCTATTTCTTATTGTTATATTTATTGTGTTTATATTCTATTTATTATACATCTGCATATTTTATACACATTTATATCTACTTATATGTATACTTTTTACTTCCAGAAGTCTGGAAGGTTCCAGAACAGCCTTCCCACTGGAATAGCAGGAGGAAAAGCATCAGTGGGTTTAAAGGTGGAGAGTGAGCAGTTTGTGGGGGTTGTGAAGCTGTGCGGGGTCAAGGACTCAACTCACTGACCAGACTCCCTGTCCCACTGCTTTTCCAGCACTGGGAATGGGAATGCTGCTGGAAGAGCAGCCTGGGGAGGAGGCAGCTGTTCCAGATCACCACGGGCACGGGGAGTTAAATTAAGTTTAAAGCTTTGGCTCAACCTTCCAAGTTGTGAATGGCTTCCCAACCTTCCCGCAGGGATCCTGAGCCTCCAGCCCCGCTCCTCAGTGCTTCTGGCTTAGATAAAGAAATTCCAGAGGAAACCAGCTGGCTGCTCATCAAACAGGAGCTGCAAAGCCTTCCCCAACAAAAGCTACATCCTCGCTGCGAGAACTTTATTCACCGGGAAAATAATCCTCCTACGGAAACAACCCCCAGCACAGCCGAGCGCGGCCACGGCAATAACTCAACAAAGCCACAACCCCGGCCAACAGAAATCCAATTTACCATTTATTCCAGTTCAGATACTGCAGTGGGGATGTCACCAGAGCGAGGAAGCCCCGTCGGATGCACGAGGTAACAGTTGCTCCAGAGTAACTCCTCCTAATCGCCAAGTGCAAAGGAAGGAGGCTCAGGGTGTTCCTAATCCCCCCCTGCTCTCCAGGCTGGAGATTCATCCCTTGCTGTGCCTGTGAACCACTTCTCCCCGTGACCTTGTGATTTCAGAGCCGGCGACTATTGGTTCTCCCTTTGCTTGGGGCGCTCACATCTCATTTCGTTTCTCATTATCAGGCACAACCAGATCAAGGACAGGCTCTCCTCTGCCAGGATTCTTTCTCTGTCTTACAAACGAAATAACTCCATTGATTATTGCCTTTGTCATCCAGCAGCTGCAGGACAGTCACAGACAACACAGACACCCTTCACTTGCACGTGCTCTTGAAGAGCTTGAAACCAGCTTGAAACCAGCTGCTCTGAAGAGCCCCGAGGAAAGCCATCAAACAGCATCTCCTGCTCCTCTAAATCCACTGCCAAGATCCCTGTTTAACACCAGCATCCAGGAGAACCTTCACAGGAGTCCATCTGCTTCCAAACAGGAACAGCAGCTCCACATGGGACCCAGGGATGCACGAAATGCTCCTGCACGAAAAGCTCCTGAAAAGCCCGAGAAAACCCATCACAGAGCACCTCCTGCTCCTCCAAATCCAATACCTGTTTAAGAGCAGTGCTCAGGAGAACCTTTGCAGGAGCCTGTTTGCTTCCAACAAGGAACAACAGCTCCACATGGGACCCGGGGCTGCAGGAAAAGCTCCCGAAAACACCTGCATGAAATGCTCCAGAAAAGCCCCAAGGAAACCCATCACAGAGCATCTCCTGCTCCTCCAAATCCAGTACCAAAGCCCCCTGTTTAACACCAGTGCTCAGGAGGACCTTCACAGGAGTCCATCTGCTTCCAAGAAGGAAGAGCAGCTCCACATGGGACCTGCAGTGAACACTCAGGGACCCTCAGCTTCCACCACCCAGCAGCGTTTGCTCCGCAGCTGCAAACGGGGCCAGACACAGACACACCCCCAGAGGGGCTCGTGCTGCTCCACCTCCAACTCTTCTCCAGCATCTCTGCAATTCCCAGGATGAAAACTGCCACAAGTTCTGCCATTCCCCTCCCTGACAGTGCCTGTTTGCAGCCCCAGCCCCCCGAAATCACCGATTCTGCTGCACCAAAGGGGTGGCTGTCAAGTCAGCTCGCCAGCACATCTCAGAACGAGACACCAGCCCTACCCCAGCCTCCATTCCAGCCATCTCCTGTCCCCTGCTCCTCCCTGGGGTGGTCCCTTCCCACAGTTCCTCACCCAGACTCATCTCTGGACAGGTTCCTCCCTCGGCATCGCACCCTCGCAGAGCTCCCTCCACCCAGGGCTCTCACCCTGGACCATCCCCCAGGCAGCTCATTCCATCCAGCACTTCTCTGACAGCACCTCCCAAACCATCTCTCACCCTTCCCCAGACTGCCTGCACCCACCACACTCCAGCTGCCACCTTCTCCCTCCAGGACCCTCCACCCCCAACACCCCAACACTTCCACTCCTGGGCAGCTCAGTCACCCCCCCATCCCTTCAGGACCCTGAAGCCCCCCAGGCTGGCAAATCACACCCCTGGCCGGGACTCCTCTCCAACCAGCCTCTCCCAACACCTCTCCCACTGTGGACACCCCGGCACCCCCTTAGCTCAGAGCACAAGTCCAGCACCAGCTCAGTCCGGGATCTTCGCTCACACCAGCTCCTGTTTCCCGGGTGGGAGAAGCTCTCCCAGCTCCCCCCGTTCCCAAAGGCATCACGAGTGCCCTGAACATGACAAAGCAGCGGCGGTGGCAGCTCCGCTCAGACTGCCGGGCTCTGCTCAGCCCAGCCCTCGACCTGCCTGCGACTCCCAGGGAACCCTGGCCAGGGGCTGACAACATTCCTGGCCCCAAAAACATTCATCAGCATCTCCAACGCAGCAAATAACCTGGAGAGTTTCCATGAGCGAGGCACTGAAGGGATTCTCTTTAACTCTCACTCAGCCTCCTCGGCCACAGGGTAAGGAGCCAGTGGGAAGAGATTCCAGCCCTGAGGGGCCACTGCCCGTCCCACTCCACTGTTCCTCCCCACAGTGCCTCCCACAACTTGCTTTCTCTCTGGAGATCACATGAACACACACAAACAATTCGGGATGAATAAGTGAATTCAGGATTCTGTGGCAGTTACTCCAGGACCACCTACTCGATGTAAACACATGAGGAGATACAGAAGGATGTGACAGGCAACAGTGGGAAAACGCACTGGGAAAAGCACTTCTGATGCAAGAGTCCATCCATGGATTCCTTCCAGCCTCCTGGAATCAGACACCTGCACGAATCGCAGCTCCAGCACATCAAACACTCCTTAACTCCAACCACCACTGCAGAAATCCGCCCCAGCCACAGGCCCTTCTCATCCACCTCCTCCTCTCGGGGGGAAAAACACATCCATGGGGACATCAGCGGGATTGCCTGGACTGCCACCTCCGAGGAGGAGCTGTCAGCTCCCTCAGCACGGGGCTCACAGGGTTCTGAAGCAGCAATTCCAAGCAGGGAAGAGAAAGCCCTGTCTCCCTCTCCCCAGCTCAGATCCATGTTACAGCCAACGCAGCTCAGCTCAGCGGCTGCTCCAGCCCGCAGTGCAAGAGGAATCCACGGAAAAAGTGGAGGCAGGAAGATGAAAAGAGGATCCTTAAACTTTCTGTGAAAAAACTATGGAATTAGGAGGCTTGCAGAGGGAGCCTTTTGTTATCCCTGCCTGCTGGAAGCTGACTTACGACCCAGCGCAGGCTTTACGTGGCTCTCAGGAGTCTGTCCAACACAACAGGCACTGCTGTTATCCCTCTAAGCCTCCTGGCTCCCGGCGCCGGGAGCTGTGGCTGGAAGCTCTGTTGGGAAGAGCTCCCGTGCCCACCACCCCCAGCACGAGGTGGGCTGGCACTGGGGGGCCCTGCAGTGGCCCAGGGCAGGACACCGGGCACTGCCAGCCCCGGGATGGGGGGAGAGGGGTCAGAGAGGCACCGGCACCTCCGGGGCTCCCAGGAGAGCCAGGCACCCACAGGTGTCACAGGTGAGACCAACCACCCCCAGCCACAGCAGAGAGCCACAGACACACCCCAGGGATGGACAGGGCACCCCAGGGCTGGAGCTGATCAGGGAACCTGCAGCCCCACAACCGGGCTGGGAGCCCCACAAAGCTGCAGCCCCACAGCCAGGCTGGAGATCTCACAGCCCTGCAGCCCCACAACCAGGCTGGAGATCCCATGGCCCTGCAGCCCCACAACCAGGTTGGGAGCCCCACAAAGCTGCAGCCCCACAGCCAGGCTGGAGATCTCACAGCCCTGCAGCCCCACAACCAGGCTGGGGATCCCATGGCCCTGCAGCCCCACAACCAGGTTGGGAGCCCCACAAAGCTGCAGCCCCACAGCCGTGCTGGGGATCACACAGCCAGGGCAGCCGTTGCTGCTGATCCCCAGCCCGTGGGCTGAGCAGGACCCTGGGCTGGAGATGACTGGGGACCCCATGGCCCTGCAGCATCTCAACCAGTTTGGGGACCCCCACAACCACAGCCAGGGCAGCCAGTGCCACAGCCAGAGTGGGATGCCCACCTGGAGCCCGCTGCCAGTGCCGTGGGACCTGGGACTGGGGACCCCACAGCCCTGCAGCCCCATGGCTGGGATGAGGAGGCCAAGGCTCTGCAGCCCCCAAAACCAGGCTGGGGACCCCACAGCTGTGGCGCCCCAAAACCAGGCTGGGGATCCCAAGACTCTGCAGCCCCAAAATCAGGCTGGGGATCCCAAGGCTCTGCAGCCCCCACAACCAGGCTGGGGACCCCACAGCCCTGCAGCACCACGGCCAGCGCAGCCAGTGCTGCAGCCAGCGTGAGCCCCCTGCCCAGAGCCTGCAGCCGGTGCCGTGGGACCCTGGGCTGGGGACCCTGCAGCCGGGCTGGGGACCCCAAGGCCCTCCATCCCCCCAGCCGGGCTGGGGACCCCCCTAACCACTGCCAGCACAGCCAGTGCAGGACCCCCTACCAGAGCCCGCACCCGGTGCCGCGGGACCCCGGGCTGGGGACCCGCTGGCCGGGCTGGGGACCCCCACGGCCGCGTCCAGCGCACCCCGTGCCGCAGCGGCGCGGGACCCCCGGAGCAGCGCGGGACCCCCGCCCGGTGGCGGTGCCGCCCCGCCGCCCGCCCCGCGCCCCGCCCGCTCTCCCTCCATCCCTCCCTCCCTCCCTCCCTCCCTCGCTGCCTCGCTCGCTCACCCTTGACGGCTTCTCCGCGGTTGAGCTGGATCTCGCCCTCGCCCTGCGGCGCGTAGCTCTTCACCACGATGAACTTGCGGCCGGGCACGGCGCTGTACAGCTTCCGCTTGGGCCCGCGCAGCGGGGCGGGCGCGGCGTGCGGCGCGGGCTCGGCTCCGGGGCCGGGGGGCCCGGCCGGGCCGCCGGGGCTGTAAACGAACACGTAGGTTACGGTGCTGATGCCCGGCAGCTCGCGGCTCGTCCCGCCGCGGCCCGCGGGCTGCGCCATGGCGGGGGGGCCCGGCGCGGGGTCGCGGGGGGCTCAGCGCAGCCCCGGCCGGCGCGGCGGAG